GGGTCAGTTTCTGAGGCTGGAAAGTCCAAAGTCCAAGGAACCCATCTGGTGAAGGCTTTCCTTGGTGGTGGCTTCAGTGACAGGCAGGGTATCCCATTGCGGAAAAAGGTGGAGCAGAGATAGCCTATAACATTCTTTATTTGGAAATTTGAGATTTCAAAATACTAGTGTCCTTCCTGTTTAAGGGTACATTGTAGAGCTGAATTTTGGGTTACTGTGAAGGATTTTTCTTCATGCTGTCATTGTAATATATTTTGTAAGAATCCTTGGAATTAGAGTTTTGGTTACAAATTGTTTTAAGAAAGGTTGGGGGAGGAATAATAAGGTACTAAACATAAGATCATTATACAAAAATCCACTTTATTTCTGGAATTAGCCACAAAAAAGAAAATGTAATTTTTTAAAGATACAGTATGTAGAGAAACAGAATATCTGTTTAGGTATAAATCCAACAAAGTATGTGCAAGCTGTTTATGGAAAAGTCAAAGGTAGTGGAGTCAGAAAAGACTAGTTTCAAATCTTTGTCTGCTCAATGGATCCTCGTCCAAATCCTTGTCAGCTCCGTGATTCTGGATCCAAATTTCCTCCCAACTGCTTTGCAGGGTAGCTGACCTTGTGCAAGTCATTAGCCTTTGATGCCCAGTTTTCTCGTTTTAAAAAGAAATAACAATATCTATATTGTGTGGCAATGTTAGGATTACCTGAGGCTGGTGCTTATCAAGCTCTTAACACATAACTAAGTACTTAATGATTGTTGTTCTTACCTGGGAGTATATAGCAATTATGGTTATTCTGATTCATCAAGAAAATTTTAAATTATGACCTTTATACATACAATGTTTAAGACTTCAGGGAGATGACCAATATATTTTGAATTTCTATAAAACTGATTACATGTTTTGTTTGATGTTTTTATGATTGGCTTCTACCTAAAAATTCTGTCAATAAGGGAATACATCATTCCTCAGAGATGTTATAGATCAGTGGGGCAAAGTCATAGAGACTTAAGGCTAAGTCATATCTGACAACATTAGCCCAGTCTGAATTGATATTATTGTAAATTTATGCTATAGCTTTAGTTGAGATCTCCAAATGGCTGCTTGCTTCTTTTGGCCAAAAATAGCCAGGAGTCTCTGAAAAGAGAATATTTAAAAAGAGAAACTATTTTGCAGCCTTTTAAAAACCAATGTAACTTTTCCTAGTTAACATTCTATTTCTATGTAATATTTCTCTAAACATGGAATCATATTAAGCATTTTTAATATCTTTTCATTTTTACTGAAGGTTGAAGACTATTTTTAAATAATCATTCTCAATTATATATTGTGGAAGGTTGTTGAAAGCTTTAAAGTATGGTT